TTACTCTACAACCTTACACTCTCCCACAGCCCCAGTCGAAGTTAAAAATATGGCACCAAAGACAAGAATCATGACGAACCTATTTTCTCCTTGTACTGGTTATCTGGAGACTTCTCTGCTATGCAAATAAGAAGCTGGGTAAGGTTCACTGCAGAAATACAGCGGGGAATGCTGCTCTGGAAATTCTGCAGGTATCGAAAACTCTGCCTGTAGGGATAGACAGAACAGTTTGTTAGCTGCGCAAGAATGAATTTCCTAAGCAGATTAATAACAGATTTCACATATTCTGCTATTTGAAAAAACAAATCTACTTTAAAGTAAGATTGGCCAATTGTGCTGGTGAGGGGGGGTTAAAGTATAATTAAACAAAAAGAGAAAGATCTCTAATCCACTTCTTTTTGGTCAGATTAACAGTATCACACAGAATGTAGAATAGCCAGAAGTCAGAGAATGGACAGAAGATATTATAATGGGATCAAATGAATAGAAAATCTACTGCGGTCTTTTCAAATTTGATTTAATATGCCAATGTGCCCAAAATTCCCGGAGTTTTAGAAGAGACAGACAGAACGTGGAATGCATGGATTATGCACTTTGTATGGTATGATCTGCCTGTACTGCACGCAAAACAAAACTTTTCACTGCACCGGGTACACAGGACAATAACAAATCAAAATCAAAAGCCAAAGTGTACACATTTTAACAGATCATTTAAAAATGATACTTGGCCCTGGTGAGAATAAATTTGGAGTGCCATGAGTAGATCTGTTCTATTAATCCTCAAAAGAAAAATATATTGGAGTGGATACAGAGAAGCATTGCACTACTGAACTCAGAACTTGATGAACTGACACAAGAAAAAACTGACCAGCCTGGGATTTGTCTTATCAGTGAACTGAGCAGATTCATGAGAACAACATGTAAAATTATAAGAGATTAGGATAAATAATTAAGTTTTTGAGCTAATACAAAACTTAGGCGTGAAAGGTCAGATTTGCAATTTTCAAAAATCACTTGTGGGACAAAGGTGTTGCTGGCTGGCCAACATTTATTGCCTGTCCCTAGTTGCCCTTGAGAAGGTGGTGGTGAGCTGCCTTCTTGAACCGCTGCAGTTCACGAGCAGTAGATTGACCCACAATGCTCTTAGCATGGGAATTCCAGGACTTTGACCCAGCAACAGAGAAGGAACGACAATATATTTCCAAGTCAAGATTACAAATAGCTTAGGAGGGATCTTGCAGGCGGTAGTGTTGGCATGTATTGCTGCCCTTGTCCTTCTAGATGGAGGTGGATCTGGAAGTTGCTGTCTAAGAATCTCAGCTGTAAGGTGAATTTGTGCAGTGCATTTTATAGATAGTACACACTGCTGTCACTGAGTAACAGTGATGGAAGGAGTGGATGCTTGTAGATGTGGTGCCAATCAAGCAGGCTGCTTTGCGCTGAATGGTGTCAAGCTTCTTGGGTGTTGTTAGAGCTGCACCCACTCAGGCAAGTGGTGAGTATTCCATCATTATCCTGACTTGTGCCTTGTAGATGGTAGTCAGACTTTGGGAGTCAGGAGGTGAGTCACTTGTAGCAGTATTCCTAGCCTCTGACCTGCTCTTGTAACCACTGTGTTTATTTGGCAAGTCCATTTGAGTTTCTGGTCAATGGTATCCCCCCAGGATGCTGACACTGATGATAACATCATTGAATGTCAAGGGGTGGTAGTTAGATTCTCTCGTATTGGAGATGGTCATTGCCTGGCGTTTGTGTGGCATGAATATTACTTGCCACTTGACAGTACAAGCCTGGATATTGTCCAGATATTGTTGCATTTGAACATGGACTGCTTCAGTATGAGGAGCCATAAATGCTGCTGAACATTGTGCAATCATCGGCCACCATCCCCACTTCTCACCTTATGATGGAGGGAAGGTCATTGATGAAGCAGCTGAAAATGGTTGGGCTTGGGACACTACCCTGAGGAACTCCTGCAAAGATGTCCTGGAGCTGAGATGACTCACCTCCAACAATCACAACCACTTTCCTGTGCCAGGTATGACTCCAACCAGGGGAGAATTTGCTCCAACACCCATTAATTCCAGCTTTGCTAGAGGTCCCTGATGCCACACTCGGTCAAATGCAGCCTTGATGTCAAGGGCTGTTACTCTCGCCTCACTTCTGGAATTCAGCTGTTTTGTTCCTGTTTGAACCAAGGCTGTAATGAGGTCAGGAGCTGAGTGGCCCTGGCGGAACCCAAACTGGGTGTCACTGAGCAAGTTATTGTGGAGCAGGTGCTGCTTAATAGTACTGTTGATAACACCTTCCATCACTTTACTAATGATCCAAAGTAGATTGATGGAGTGGGGGGGTGGGGGTGCGGATGGTGGGGAGTGGGGCGCGGTAATTGGCCTGGTTGGATTAGACCTGCTTTTTGTGTACAGGATGTAGCTGGGCAATTTTCCACATTGTCAGATAGATGCCAATGTTGTAACTGTACTGGAACAGCCAAGTCACTACTTACTGCCCAATCCTTGTTGCTCTTGAGAAGGTGGTGGTGAGCTGTCTCTTGAACCACTGCAATCCATACAATGCAGCTAAACCCACAATGTTGTTAGGGAGGGAATTCCAGGGTTTTGACCCAGTGACAATTTAAAAAGCCCCCTTAAACCGATCTCCTCTAACTGTTATTTTAGCCATCCCTCATAATGTCACCTTCTCAATTGTGCCAGCTATTTTTGACTGATTTTGCTTCTGAGAAATACCTTGGAATATCTAACAGCATTAAAAGCCTCATCAATTTAAACTTGTAAATGTTATTAGATACAAAATTTAATATGAAAAATAATTTCCAGGAGGTACATGGTGGCTGGAGGCAATATTTCTTCTTAAGCTTGAGTTATCATTTTGGCCCCAAATTCAGTAGACAGAACTCGTATTTTACTCTATAGCCATAACATTATCTGGTTCTCATAATACCTGACAAGTTCCTCCATTTGCATTTCACCATCTCCCTCTTTAAGTTTGTTTGCCAGGACACCAAGTGCTAACCTCAGTAGTTTACGGTTTTCATGCTGGGCAAATCCAGACCTGTACGTTTAAAGAGAAAAGATACCAATTTTATTGCAGAACCAGTAAATTTTACTGTTTCTAATGCTGGTCCATCAAGAAATCAACTGTTGTATTTTTTAAACACTTAAATCATACAACTTCTATCTCTTCACCTCTCCTTGCCTAATTTAACACAATTTCATTTATATCTGCTGTAGTGAAGAAATTGCAGATGTGTAATTATCTGTAATCAATTCATCACAGTTCAAAGTAAAATTCCATGATGATGTCAAATACTATGTAGCTTGATTATCTGATATAATGGAAAAAATTATAAAAGATATTCAGATTTGCCATCAGTTACGCTGTTCTGCTGTGCTTGAACTATTAATAATCTAAAAGTTACAGTCCTTGCTGATCATATGCCTATGCCTCAGCTCCACACCCACGCAAGGCAGCCATAAGCACAGCCAACTAAAGCCTTTGAAGTACTGGGATCATTATTAAAGGCAGTACGGCCTCACTTCCAACAATCACATCTCCACACCACTGATCTCAATGAAACCACTAACTCTAAAAATTAACATATAACTTGTCCTTCTTAGTAAATGACTATGCCTGTGAGTAGAACACAGGAGTAGTGCCAGAAGACTGGAGACTAGCAAATGTTGTCCCCATGTTCAAGAAGGGGAGTAGAGACAACCCTGGTAATTATAGACCAGTGAGCCTTACTTCGGTTGTGGGTAAAGTGTTGGAAAGGATTATAAGAGATAGGATTTATAATCATCTAGAAAGGAATAATTTGATTAGGGATAGTCAACACGGTTTTGTGAAGGGTAGGTCGTGCCTCACAAACCTTATTGAGTTCTTCGAGAAGGTGACCAAACAGGTGGATGAGGGTAAAGCGGTTGATGTGGTGTATTTGGATTTCAGTAAA